GATCAGTGTATTAAAACTCGATCAGTGTATTAAAACTTGATCAGTGTATCGATCAGTGTATTAAAACTCGATCAGTGTATTAAAATATTAAAACTCGATCAGTGTATTAAAATATTGAAACTCGATCAGTGTATTAAAACTCGATCAGTGTATCGATCAGTGTATTAAAACTCGATCGGTGTATCGATCAGTGTATTAAAACTCGATCAGTGTATTAAAACTTGATCAGTGTATCGATCAGTGTATTAAAACTCCATCAGTGTATTAAAACTCAATCAGTGTATTAAAACTCCATCAGTGTATCGATCAGTGTATTAAAACTCGATCAGTGTATTAAAACTCGGTCAGTGTATTAAAACTCCATCAGTGTATCGATCAGTGTATTAAAACTCGATCAGTGTATTAAAACTCGGTCAGTGTATTAAAACTCGATCAGTGTATAGATCAGTGTATTAAAACTCGATCAGTGTATTAAACTCGATCGGTGTATTAAAACTCGATCAGTGTATTAAAACTCGATCAGTGTATTAAAACTCGGTCAGTGTATAGATCAGTGTATTAAAACTCGATCAGTGTATTAAAACTTGATCAGTGTATTAAACTCGATCGGTGTATTAAAACTCGATCAGTGTATTAAAACTCGATCAGTGTATTAAAACTCGGTCAGTGTATTAAAACTCGATCGGTGTATAGATCAGTGTATTAAAACTCGGTCGGTGTATTAAAACTCGATGGTTCAGATACTTCTACCTTTACGAGGACGGACACCGTGTGTTTCTCTTCAGTCAGTGTGAAGCAGAAGAAGGTTGTTCCTGCCACGACCAGCAGAGGGCAGACTGAAGCCACCCGTCCACAGACAGACAGTCTCTGACCTGGAACCCTGAGACACATTATATTTAGATATATATATATGATATATATGATATATATCAATATATATGTTTTTATATACTCTGCTGAAAGAATGAAGGCAACACTCAAAGATCTTGATGAATTAGTCAAGAGGATTTTTTACGGATGAACATTTTATAACTCGAGAACAAAATGACAGCGGTCAATGGGAAGTGATGAAGTAACAGGAAGTTTCAAACTGAAATCTCAGGCTGATCCAACTTTGTGACTTTCATCACAGCAACTCATCATGTGACTCATGATGTGTGACCCCCGTGCCTGTTCCCCCCCCAACAACGTCCGGACATGCTCCAATGAGTTGGTGGATGGCGTTCAGGCGGACCTCCTCCCAGACCTGGATCGGGGCGTCACTGAGCTCCTGCCGTCTGTGGCGCTACTCAACGGGTCGGGTGCACCGAGACATGGCGTCCCACAGGTGCTCGTTTAGATCAGAGGACCGAGAGGGTCAGTGGCAGCCAAGCGTCAGCTGACTCACCTGATGTGCATTAAAGCTGCAGCCTCTCTGACGCCCGCTGCTTTAATAAGCCCCGCCCCTCCTCCATCAGCGGAAACCAGTCCGTGGTCAGGACCAGCAGACAGAAGCACAGGAGAACCAATCACCTCAACGTAACCACCGGCCTCGTCCTGCCCCAAGGCATTGTGGGGGATGTAGGTCCAGTGAGGGAGGAAGACAAGGCGATTGAGCCAGTGAGGAGAGACAGACAGGAACTGCAGAGGGACAGACAGGTGACGGACAATTTAGAAGTACTTCCTGTACAAATAAAATTAACTTTATATACAGTGATCGTCTTTATATACAGTCAGTGATGGTGTTTATATACAGTCAGTGATGGTCTTTATATACAGTCAGTGATGGTGTTTATATACAGTCAGTGATCATCTTTATATACAGTCAGTGTCTTTATATACAGTCAGTGATCATCTTTATATACAGTCAGTGATCATCTTTATATACAGTCAGTGATCGTCTTTATATACAGTCAGTG